TGTGTACATCACTTGTTCCATCATTTTTACTACTTGTTATAACAAACTCCACTGTTTTAAAATCACTTTAGACAATCTATAATTTTGATGGTTTCAGTTGTGTCATATTTTTGGTTCATTTCGTGTTAGGAAAGCCAGAAATGAGAGTAATAAGGGCAAATAAGTGTTTTGTTTAGATAGGGTTTGTGTGTGTGTGTGTGTGTGTATTTTTTTTTTTTTAAATCTTCTGCAGCTCATGCTATCAGTACCTCAGCCAGATGAGCTTCGCTCTTCTGTAACAAACCTGTTTTTCTACTCACACATCTGTGACTGCCTGAGGGCATTCCCTAGTCCAGGAAGCAGGCCTGGCCCTCACTTGGGGCAAGCTCTCAACCAATGACAGACAAGAGTTGGTTTGGCTAGGACAACTCTGAGCCAGCTTCTGTCCCTAGTGGGCCTGAGCGAGCTGGAGTTGCCACAGTGATAACCTGCTTGTTAACACATCCTGTGTGTTGTCTTCCTTCCTGCTGTGTTTTGACTCCACCCCTTAGTGGTAGGTGCTTTCGTGGATTACCTCTTGAATAAACTGTTTGCACTCAAATGATCTCAGGGTCTGCTTCTTGAGGAAGCTAATCTAAGATTTTCCAAGTGTAGGTTGTAGGATGCACAAAAGCATTTACAAGAATGGTATCGGTGCATGCTATCACAGATGAAGCTCATGTTGTGCTGGAGGGTGTTCATGGACAAGACTCATTAGATTCAGTGGGAAGGTGAGCTCTCCCCTCCAACATTCCTCACTAACTGCTTGAGATTATTTATTAAATGTTTTGATTATCCTGAGAATGCTGCATTAAGAAGGTTGTACAGTAGTGCTGCCAAATGGGAATATTCTTCTGCTCTGTCCAATGTGGTAGCTGCTAGCTTCATGTGGCTATTTAGCTCTTGAAATGTGACACTGAGGAACTTAAAATAGCCATATGCAGCTGGTGACCACTCTATTGGACTGCACAGTTGTAGAGTTCTGTGAGTATAAAAGTGTTCTTTTGTGAAAGTTTTTTCTCCTTCTCATTGTCTTTCGGTCTTTTTCCCCTTGCACCATTCTTCTTTTTCCTTTCTTCGAGTTAGGTGGATCTCAAATGTGATGTCAATTGCAGTGGTTTGTGAAGCCCCTGACTGCATAGAGGTGGGGTTGAAGCAGGCACTTCAGAATGCCAGCCAACTGGATTTACTAAGCAGTTTGATATACTATAGTTCCTTAAATTATGTAACACTTAATTTGTGCTTACAATGGATTACTTACCCATATACTAGTCTATAAAATATGTATGGCCTTTGCTCACCTGCTATTAATATTTCAGGCAATTTATTACAGCTAATTATCTAAATAGTGAATTTTTTCAATAAGCCAGTAGTTGCTCTGATAACTGAAGACATGCCAGATGATAGTGGTCATGATGACAAGGACACCTTTCCGTGGCCAAAGCCCTCCACTGTGGCCTCTCCCCCCTACAGCCCTCCAGTCCCATGGCCTTCATTCTTACACTTGTCAAGATTCACTGCTGATTTGGGGGCTTTGTGCTTGTGTATTCTTTCTGGAAAGCTTTTTTTGGAGGTCTTTGCATGGATGGCTCCTTACGATTTGGCCGTAGCTCAGATATCACCTCCTTAGAGAGGAGGCCTTTCTCGGACATCTAATTATGTTGCCTTTGCAGACTATCACGAGCTTACACGCAGGTGGGGAAAAAACTGACAATGAATCAATAAATGAAAAAGGAATTTTGATAGCACTGAGGATTGTGAAAAAAAGTTGCAGACAGTATAAGAAATGATGTACTCACTGTATGTTTGGAGCCCATCTGAGTGCATGGTGCCAGTAGGGGCTTTATAAATATTTGTTAAATGAATGAACAAAACTCTAGCTTTGAAGCCAAAGATTCAAAAGTTTATACCAAAAGCAAATAATATATAAAAGTATACTTTCTTCAGCTGTGTCTAATGTGTTGATAAATTACTTATAAAATCCAAAACTGTCAAATTATTTGTAAAAATACTATAATTTGAACACTATCCATAACCCTGTTTTTAATTATTATAAAAATTCTGGAAAAAGTATGACTGTTTGGCATTACTAATATTTCAAAAACAAAAAGGCACTTTGTTTTTTTCTTCTGGAGTAACAGATCTATAGTTAGTTCCTGATATTTAAGAAGGCATACTGTAAATTTTATAATCAAATCTTTAAACCCTTTGGCAAAACAATATACGCAATTTTTCTATTAATCTCCCTTTCTCTTTTCAAGCTTTGAAGTCTAATATTAATATTTTAAGTCCAAGCTTATATTTCATTTGTAGTATTAATCAAGTTATTATCAAGACATAATTTTTATCAAATAATATTGCATAACGATTTTGTTTCATGTTTAATAGCCAAACCTACCCATTAAAAATTACATTTTGGATCTGAATGTTTTTTACGTAAGGAGTACAGGTGGGTCTGTATGTTCTAGCATGCCTTGAAATAGATGGTCTTGGAGGAAGGAGGGCCAGATGTTTCAAGTCCATATCTGCATTGATGATGTGTTATGGTAGAGTATTTGGGTATACTAATGAGATATGGTTTTTTGGTTATTGAATTCCAGTGCCCTTAAATCAGATGGCTCTGAGAGAATTAGATAACTTAGGCTACACAATATAACATTAAAAATCAATATGAACCTATGTTTATAAAAGATTTTAAGACTACATTTAAAATATCCTTAATGTGGATCTAGTAACTATTTGATTTGTTAAAATAATTTTTAAAAATTTTAATGATTTAGGGGGTACAAGTTAAATTCTGTTACATATGTATATCATATAGTGGTGGAGTCTGGGCTTTTGGTGTGCCCATCACCCAAGTAGTGTACATTATACCACATAGGTAATTTTTCATCCTTCACCGCCTCCCACCCTCCTCCCTTTTGAGCTTCCAGTGTCCATTATACAACTCTGTGTGCCCTTGTGCAGCCATAGTTTAGCTCCCACTTATAAGTGAGAACATGTGGTATTTATTTGTCCATTTCTGAGTTATTTCACTCAGGATAGTGGCCTCCAGTTCCATCCAAGTTGCTGCAGAAGCCATTATTCCATTCTTTCTTATTGCTGAATAGTACTCCATGGTATATACGTACACCACATTTTCTTAATCCACTCATTGGTTGATGGGCACTTAGGTTGATTCCATATCTTTGCGATTGTGAATTGTGGTGCAATAAACATACAAGTACAGGCATCTTTCTGATATGATTTCTTTTCCTCTAGAGATACCCAGAAGTGGGATTGCAGGATTGAATGGTAGATCTGCTTTTAGTTCATTAAGAAATCTTCATGGAAATTGTACTAATTTACATTCCCAACAACAGTGTATAAGTGTTCCCTTTTCACCACATCCACACCAACTTCTGTTGTTTTTTGACTTTTTAATAATGACCATTCTGACAGGGGTAAGGTGATATCTCATTGTGGTTTTAATTTGCATTTCCCTGGTGATTAGTGATGTTGAGCATTCTTTCATGTTTATTGGCCATTTGTCTATCTTCTTTTGAAAAATGTCTGTTCATATCATTTGCCCACTTTTTAAGGGGGTTGTTTTTTTCTTGCTGAGTTGTTTGAGTTCCTTGTAGATTCTGGATATTAGTCCTTTGTCAGACACGTAGTTTGAATATTTTTTCCCATTCTGTAGGTTGTCTAGTTACTTTGATTATTTCCTTTGCTGTGCAGAAGCTTTTTAGTTCAATTAAGTTCCATTTATCTATTTTTGTTTTTATTGCATTTGCTTTTGGGGTCTTAGTCATAAATTCTTTGCCTAAACCAATGTCCAAAAGAGTTTTTAATAGGTTTTCTTCTAGGATTTTTATTGTTTCAGGTCTTACATTTAAGTTTTTAATCTATCTTGAGTTAATTTTTGCATATGGTGAGAGATAGGGATCCAGTTTCATTCTTCTACATGCGGCTATCCAATTTTCTTAGCACCATTTATTGAAAAAGGTATCCTTTCCCCAGTCTTGTCAACTTTGTCAAAGATCCGTTGGCTGTAATTATGTGGTTTTATTTCTGGGTTCTCTATTCTGTTCCATTGATCTACCTTTGTACCAGTATCATGCTGTTTTTGGTTACTATAGTCTTGTATAGTTTGAAGTCAGGCAGTGTAATGCCTCTAGCTTTGTTCTTTTTGCTTAAGATTGCTTTGGCTATTTGGGCTCTTTTATTGGTTTCATATGATTTTAGAATATTTTTTCCATTTAAAAATTACCTCAATTTTTAAAACTAACCTTTAAAAAGGAAAAGGACAAAATGAAAAGGACAACTTTTAAACCATTTAAAATTATCAATCAAACTTTCACGATTCAGTAATAAAAAATAGAACATTAGATCCAGAAAGGATATTAGAGGGCATTTAGACAAAACAACATGCTTTGCATCTAACTCCAGGTTCAGTGCTCTTTCTACGCTGAGCTGCTGCTTACCAAGAAATACTATCTTTTTAAAAATCAATGAATGATATTGATGATGGTATTTTTTATAGGAATTGCATTGAATCTGTATATTGCTGTATATAGTGCAGTATGGACATTTTAACAATATTGATTCTTCCAATCCATAAGCATGGGATATTTTTCCATTTGTTTTGTCTATAATTTCTTTCATCAGTGATTTGTAGTTCTTGCAGAGATCTTTTACCTCCATGGTTAAATCGATTCCGTGGTGTTTTTTTTCCTGCATCTATTGTAAATGGGATTGAGTTCTAGATTTGGTTCTCAGCTTGGTCATTATTGGTATATAGAAATGCTGTTAATTTTTATACATTGATTTAAAACCTGTGACTCTGCTGAATTCATTTTTCAAATCTAGGATTCTTTTGGAGGAGTCCTTCGGGCTCTCTAGGTATAAGATCGTATCGTCAGCAAACAAAGATAATTTGACTTCCTATTTTTCAATTTGGATGCCCTTTCTTCCTCTTGACTGATTGCTCTGGCTAGGATTTCCAGTACTGTTGATATGTTGAATAGAACTGGTGACAATGGGCATCCTTGTCTTGTTCCAGTTGTCAGAGGGAATGTTTCCAGCTTTTCCCCATTCAGTATGTTGTTGGCTGTGGGTTTGTCATTTATGGCTTTTATTACTCTAAGGTCTATTTCTTCTATCCCATCATGAAGGGATGCTGGATTTTATCAAATGCTTTTCTGCATCTACTGAGAAGATCGTATGGTTTTTGTTTTTAATTCTGTTTATGTGGTGAATCACCTTTATTGATTTGCATATGCTGAACCATCCTTGCATTCCTGGGATAAAACACCCTTGATTGTGGTGAATTCTCCTTTTGGTGTGTTGTTGGATTCTGTCTGCTAGTATTTTGTTAAGGATTTTTGCATCTATGTTCCTCAGAGATATTGCTCTGTAGTTTTGTTGTGGTTGTAGCCTGGCTTTGGTATCAGGGTGACACTGGCTTTGTAGAATGAGTTAGGGAGGCTTCCCTCTCTTGATTTTTTGGAACAATTTCAGTAGGATTGGCACCAGTTTTTCTTTGTACATTTGATAGAACTGAACGGTGACTCCCTCTAGTCCTGAGCTTTTCTTTGTTGCAAGATTTTTTATTATTGATTTAATCTTGTTACTCATTATTGGTCTATTCAGAAGTTCTGTTTCTTCCTGGCTCAACCTCGGAAGGTTGTATGTTTTTAGGAATTCATTTGTTTCCTTTAGGTTTTTTAGTTTGTGAGCATATGGTTGTTCATGATAGTCTCGGATGATCTTTTGTATTTCTGTGGTATCAGTTGTAATGCCTCCTTTTTCATTTCTGATTGTGTTTTTGTATCTTCTCTGTTTTCTTGATTAGTCTAGCTAGTGGTTTATCAATTTTATCTGTTCCAAGAACCAATTTTTTTGTTTCGTTGATCCTTTGTATTATTTTCTTGGCCTCTATTTCATTTAGTTCTTCTTTGCTCTGATCTTTGTTATTTCTTTTCTTCTACTAACTCTGAGTTTGGTTTGTTCTTGTTTTTCTGATTCTTTCAGGTGTGAAGTTAGGTTGTGTAACTGATATTAAGATGAATAACCCTGGGTGAAATAGAGGAACTAGATATTTTAGATTCATAATAATTTGTTAGGTAACTACAACCTCTGTTTACATATGATTTTAATAAACTCCTTTTTTAGGTTTTGAAAACATTGAATTGACTCCTCTTGCTGCAATATGTGTGAAAATATATTCAGGAGGAAAAGAATTAAAGGTGGATGGCTCTATTCAAGTTTCTCTTCCCCTTCTACATACAAATGATGTAAGTGCAGGGGATCGAATACCCGCTTGGACATTTGATATGAACACAGGTATGTGAGCTAGGTGAAGATATTCTGAATATTTTCTTTAAAATATTTGAATCTTTTGTCTTAGAATTTGATAGCAGCTGTAGTTTTTCAGTAGCATTGTTTTATTTACTTTGTTAGTGACCAAAATTGGCCTCATTTTGATTAATACAGCTATTGGGGGAAATTATATCAAAAAATAGCATTATTATATCATTGTATAAAAAAATAGCAATATTCACATACCTTGCCATTTTAATACGCACCATTTAGAGGCAGAGATAAATTTTTTAAAAAATTATTTTTCCTTGTAGGATTTTTTCTTTTGATAGGCAATATGAGCTTATCTAAAAGCTTGGTTAAGGGAATTGAGAAATATATGCTAATTTCATAAAAATAAACAACATTGTGTTATTAAGAGAGTGATCATTCCCACCTCACGGAAAAAAAAATCCTTACATACCAATTTTCACCCCTGGGTTTGGCCTTCTAAATAGCATCTAGAATTATATGTATATATTCCTCCTTGGCTTCCCTTGGTTTTGTTTTTGTGTTCCTATGTAAACAAGGTGGGAGTCTAAGTTACCAAAAAAAAAAAGAAAAAAAGAAAAAGAAATAATCAGCCCATAATTGAAAAGTCAGAAGTAGGACTGCCTTGGGTGAGGCATGCTACAAAGTACAAAGCCTAGGCTGTTTTAGAGGGCCTGATTTCTTTCATCTGTTTCCTCAGTGTTAGCTTCTTTCTAGGGTAGGATTTCCCTTAAGAGTGACAAGGAGGCTGTAAGTGCTATAACTTTATACTTAGTCAGGGTGAGGGCCAATGGAAAACAGAGATTCTTTTCCTAGTAGCTCTTAGATTCACTGCAGTCGTAGAGTGGAGTTTGCATGCCCATCTTGGAACCTGTCTTTGTGGCCCACAAGTACAATGCACAGGTTTATTTAGTCTTAGGTCACATGTTGGAGCTGGGGATGGAATCCCAAACTTGTGGACTGAGAATAGCGAGTGGTAGCTTCTCAAAGGAGAGATTTGAAATGGGATTTCACTGTAACTGAAGGTGTGGGTAGTGAGGCCAAAAAAACCACACGAATTTTCACTATAGAAGATAAGCAGTAATATGTTTTTAAGAAAGAGTGGAAATTATACAACCATGATAATATCCTATTGTAAATCCTTGTATTAAGAGCTCTGAAACTTGGGGTCTAGTCCATTTAGCAGCAATACCATTTGGAACAAGTCATTTAACTTATTTAGGCCTCAGTTTCCCAATTTGTTGAATGAGAAAATTGTTTAAAGCACTTTAACAAAGAATATCTGTTGTTTGAGCCCTGGTTTCTG